ATCGCTGGTGAGCCTTCGCATCGGACGACTGGCCGGGCTGCGCATCGAAGACGTCGGTGCTACACAGGTGCGGACCAAACTTTTTGGCAATCTCTGGCCATCGCATCAGTTCGTGGACGGTGAACAGCCTGAGGAGTTCAGCATCCAACGGGACTTGAGAGTTCCGCGTGTCTTTGAATATGCGGTGAAGTAGGTCGTGTTGCTCGTTATCATAAGGGGAAAGGATGACAAAGTAGATAATCCGCTGAAGCACCTAAAATCTTATCAGTTTTTATATTGGCTGAAGCCCAGATCAAGCGGGTGAACTTACGGGATGAAGCTTAGCAGGGTCTTCCTCGACCGCTTCGGTATCGAGAACTTGTCGGTAGTGCTTGCATACATCCAGATATTTGTCATCATGTTTCGCAAGGGCGATTTGCTGTTCATAGTACCGCAACTTGAGATCCGTGGTATCGTCTTCTTTCTCTTCTGGAACTTCCTCGCCTCGAGCCCTCTTCTTCTCACGCTCCTTCTGTTCCTTCTCCAACTGCTCGGCAGTCTTCTTGGCCTTGCGGGCCAAATACCGTGTGCTGATCTTGCGGCCTAGGATGCCAGCCTGAGTCCAGTCCTCACTCTCAATGCACAATGCAACTTGCGCTAAGATGAATTCAGTCTTCTCCCGTCGGTCCATAGAGCCAAATGTCTCGACTTGCAACTCGCACAAGATCTCCGTGGCAGCTTTCAGATCCCCCTGCTCCTTTTTGATATCGGAAAGAATCTTGGTCACACGGGCTCGCTCCACCTCGACGAATATCTTTCCCTCTGTAACAGTTCGAAGGGTCTCGATGACTGAAAGCTTCGTCTTGAGGTCTGGTGTGTCATCTAGGAAACCAACCACGGTCTGTACCATCTTGGTAATGGCCTGCTTGAGCTGGCTATGCTTCTTGGAAAGGACGAGCGTTTGCTCATTCATCAAGCTCCAGTCACCGGCATTTTTGCAGAGGGTTACGATTGCGATCAGAACCCGTGATGTCGATGCTAAGTCGGAGGCCTAATATTTCATTAGCTCTGACCCCAGTTGTTAACTGCTAATTGGGCGGCGCTCGGGGCCATACCTGCCGAGTCTGCTTCTCAAGGGCAGTAAGCTTCTCGATTGCGCCTTGAAGGTTGGTCTGCACGCTAGAGTCAGCTTCATGTATCTCTATCGCACCGCTTCGCCTACTGGTGGAGATGTACTTTTGCCAGAGTTTCAGCTTCCGGAAGTTGCTGGTCGACCTCCTTCGTGAAGTCCTTCTCGGGCTTCAACGTAGCTTCGGACATGGTTGTGGCTTCGTCTGTATCTCTGGTGCCTGTATCCTGTTGGCGCTGTATTAAGCAGAGCTTCTAGGAGTTTATTGCTGTCACAGTAACGTCGTGGTGTGCTGGGTGGATGTCGCGCGGGATGGTGATGACGGTTTGGTGCTTCTTGGGGTTGGTCAATTCATGAGGCAGCACGCAACGCAAGAGGTTCCTGCCTGCAGCTCACTGATGGTGCTACGTCGTCCCGCGTGGAGCTGACTAGCCTGCGCAAGGAAAATCCTAGGGCCGTAGTTCCGATACTGGAAACATCACATTGTGGGTCAGGTGACCTGGATTAAATCTCATTGTCCGTGTTTCGTACTGAACATCATTGATATGAGCTTGGAAACATGCACGGACTAAGCCATCTGGCTCGCGTATGCCAAGTTCTCATGGGACTTCCTGACGCACGGGAGCGTTGGCCTCTTGCAGTCAATCATCCGTGGGCCTGTTGTGGTAGCTAGCTCATCTGCTGAGTGGACTGGGCTGTGTACTTCAGTAAGTAGGCATAAACGCATTGAATCCTTTGTTGCGTCCCCTCATCCTCAGGAATTTCTCATCCGAGACCGCTGTCGCCACTGGGGGAAAAACCCTCTCCCATCACACCATCCTTCTCACTCGACATTAATGCATCCACAGTCTCCGAGAATGTCCAAGTACTTGCACTGTTAAGAATGGGATGTTCCAAGCATTTTGCCTGCCTGCTTATCCATGACTCGATGCAGGTTTAGCAAACGACACTACCCTATATCACAAGCAATGGCTCAATGTTATAGTAGTTTAATTAACCCTTTCACTGTGCACATTCCGCGTGTATCAGATGACGGATTTGCTTCTGTTCTGCGCCGAGCATTTCACCCATGAACACTTGTATACTTTGATTAGACAGGTAGTGGATGATCTGATGTGCACCATGCTTGATGCGCTTTGGACTAGATGCGTCGGAAATTACACAAGGCTGAACAACGAACTCTCATCATGCATAAACTAATTTCATTATCTGGTCAAGATGCTGGCGCCACAGCACGGTCCTGAGTCTCAAGCTACGGGTCAGCCGGCTCAAACACTAGCTGTACTTGAATGCATGTTTATCAAAAACCCAAACACCAATGGTCCCTATTTTGTCCCAATGCATACAATGAGAAACCATACATGATAGATACGCACTTATGCCCTATACACTCTTTTCCGTCTCTCAGTCTCCGCTTTCATTACCGCGAGGTATCATACCTAATGCAAGCCCTTCCATATTCTATACTACCCAAATGTGCCTTATTCTTACACTGGTGATTGTACAGTCGATCTGTCGCCTTGGCTAACAGGTTCCACAATTCTATCTTGATCCTCTAAGATTTCGCTAGTAGTCGTGTTTTGTTCCTCGGGAGGACGAGTGATGAGCCAAAGGCTCGGTTTCGACTTGGTGCCGTCTTCCGACTCTGTAACAGTCTGCACAGTAATGGCAGAGTCCACAGAGCCATTTCGACTAACGTCTTGATGGGGAGTTGCGTCTTCCTTGTCTCGTTTCTCTCTTCTGCGCCGACGATGTGCAAGATAGATGCACAAAGAGATAGCATACAGAGTAAGTAGGGAAACAAGAGGAATAGCTATGGGCGCCGCCAAACGGAAACGGGGTTTTGACTTGATCATCTCGTTAGGTATATGAAGAGCTTGGGACAAAAAGATGTGAATAGAGCAATGTGAATATAGCAGAGTGCCTGGCGCCGTAGGGATTGTGGCGTTCAACTTTCGCCAGGTCATGAAGCGGGAGGGAGAGAGAGAGAGACTTACTTTTTCTTTTGGAATCCAAGGAGGCGAAATCGTCCAATTTGGATGAACATGCTGACCATTGGTAAGCCAAACTGCGTACAACTCATTCTTTAATGCCTCTGGAGTCCACACACAAGATGTGGAATTCATTGCATCTATCAAACCATTCTATTAGTGAGCTGAAATATCCAAAGAAAACGACGAGAGTACAAACCAGTCAAGTTGGCCACTAAATCGTACACGACAACACCATCCGCAGGATATGTAACCTTGAAGAGACCCAGCTCAGCACCGGCCTTGACCAACGACTGATTCCACGTCAAGGTGAATAGGTCCCCATTGGATATGCTGTCGTTCCAATCTTCGTTCAAGAACCGCAAGCCGTGACCATTGACATCATAGGCGACAGCCGCAGCTGCCGGCTGGTGAGCCATATGAGAGGTTGGGGACTGTATCCCAGTTGGGGATGGTAACGACCGTAAAAAGTGGCTTCCAGCTCCAATTCATACTCACTCACAAAAAAGCAACCCAGACAGGAGCTGAGCGTTAGACCCCAGGCAGAAATACAAAAACCGGCGGCCACGGCATTATATGGGTAAAAGGCTCTAGGAGTATGGGGTGGGCTGGTAAACGTATGGGGTACAGGAGGGTCTCAGTCAGAAAGGGAGGATTGGCTGCATCGTTGGGTCATAACATGCTTGGGAAGCGTCACCTCCTCTACCAATCTCACGATGCACCGCATTGATGGGCTGACAGATGGCCGTTAGCCCGAATTCGGTCACGATGGCTTCATGTCCCGCAACCGGGGGGACCGCTCATGGCAGCTGGCATGCTACGTTACATGCCTGGTCAACACGATGCTCGGTCAAGTGACGATGGCACAGATGTCGAGTGTGGTCTCAGAGACCCAACCTGGCGATAGCTTCTGAAGATAACGGAGCCATGGGAATAACGATGGAAGTTTGGCAACATATATAGAAGCAGAGGAGTTGGTTAATTATAACTCGAGGCATCTAGTAAGAGATCTCGGTATCGAATGAGGTGTTGCACCCAAAACGTGGGCCCGTCTGTGTATCTTCTTGTTCCATGGGAAGCATCCAAGCTCGACGGAAGAGGATGGTTTGTCTGGCTCGGTGGTGGAGGGCGCCTGTCCAAGAGCCAGCTGAGTGATTGGGCCGACAAAAAAGATGGCCGGTAAATCCGTTAGCCTGTGCAAAAAAAGACCTGGCATGCATTTGCGGGCATTCCAGCGTAAATAAGCTCTTAGGGATGGTGAGACATGGCAGTTGGAGGTTGAGGTTTGAACTTGAGGACACTCGGTGTCAGGATGACGGCCTGACTAAAGCGAAATGTACTTTGTGGGCCAAATCACCACCTGCGTGACATCCTGCGAGAAGGCAGGAACGAGACGCGAGACAAGTGAGGTCAGGTGTGCTCAAACAGGCAGGTGGGCCCTGCGTTCACGGCGCTAATGGTGGACCTGGTCGCCGTCGACTGCCACTTACCACTTGCCACAGACTCAGGCAAGCCGCGGTGCGACCAGTTGACGCCTACAGACGCCTCGAGACGCGATGTTGTACCTCGCAACGCTCCACCCGAGCTCGGCTGAACAACCACACCATTCAAGCATCGTGAAGTTTTTCGGGCGGTACTGCCCTTCCCTCCCTCCGCCGGCCCCTTTCCTGTCCCCTCGCGTCTCTCTCTTATTACAACGAGACAAGAGCCCGCATTCTTGAAACTTTTGCGGCCTCCGCACCTCGACACTCGAGCTACACCAGCCTGTCTTTTCTCACGATCCTCTGATCACGGCACCCGTCGCGGCAACAGCACAAAAACGCCCAGGCCAAAGTATCGTGTCCCCGTTGGCCGGTGACTTAGAGTCGCTTCTGGGCCCGCTGCCCTTGCCTCCCCGAGCAATGGCTACGGCAGCCTCCGCCCCTGGCACGGCATCGTATGCCGGCTGTGTCTCCTCGCTGCGCAGTTCACTTAATTATCTTGAATCATCGGTCGAGACTTTGGATGGAGGCGTAGCCGACTTTCCACGACTCGTCAAGGTTCTGAAAACTGTCCGGGTGCGAACAATCTCTTGGTCAAAATTCTCGTCTTGCCATTGCACACTCTAACATGTATAATTTGGTAGCACTACGAACTCATCCCCCAAACAACACTTGCCGCTGCTGAATCCTCGCTCCGAGACGAAATCGGTCCGTATATTGCACTCTTACTTTCTCGGGCTGATGCACAAATCGAGCGACAGCAACGGCGCATCGAAACACTCAAGGCTCGTGCAGAGCTTCAACAAGGTCGCCTCGCCCGGCCGGATGAGGTTGACAAAAAGAATACCGCTAGGGGGCGCAATTTGACCGGAGAAGACAAATTAAGAGCTCGTATTGTTCGTCAGCGTAAAGAGGCCCTTCGTTACGGAGTTGAGCGGCTAGAGCTCGAGGTGCTTCAGAAAGAAAGGGAACTACGAAGGCGTCTCGACACTTAATGCTATTGCTTTTGTGAAGAGCTATTGTGAGGCGAGCATGATCGAATCGGGATTTTTTGCCATGTGTTCGTGCGCTAGTACCTCATTGGCGTGGTAGACGACTCCGCGACTACATCGGGGTTGTTCCAAGACCTGACGAACCATGGCCGAACCGAATGAGAAGTCGAGGCGACAGTTCGCCTGGCGCTATGGCTCAGCCTGCCTGCTGCGGTGACAACATGCCTGGTATGTTTATAGTCGGCCTCTTCCGCCCAAGGGTCTCAGTCCATGCTCTCCTACTCCGCCGCTCCTCATCTTGAGGTCTCACCCTCATGCAGTAGTGAAGATGCGGGTCGGCCAGCCATGATACATATTGGCCGGATCTACCGGCTATCTACCGGATATGAAGTGACTATCAAGATTGTTCGAGATACACCCGCTGTAGACGCGAGATAACAACTGCACGAGACGATTGGGGCGGAGAAGTGACCGACAGCTCCTAGATGTACTCAGTCTTATACAAAGCCGACGGGTTGGTGTCTGGGAACGACACGCCAAGGCCGCTTTTCGCACGATCAATAAGACATGATTGATGGCTTTGTTTTGAACCCTATCTATCATCACGGTATGAACCCTGCTGCCGATTACGGCTCAACATGATAAGTTAATCTCAGGATAATTCAAATTAAACGTAAATGTTGCCGCGTTCACGGAATATTGGGAACATCCCCCTTCAGGACCCCCATCATATCGTTTACCTAGCTGAGAAATGGCTTCAAGTCTACATCAGTAGGAGCCTTGACATACTGCAAATTAAATGGCATCCTTGTGATTTTGGTACACTTGTTCTTGGACCTCTTGTTCTCCTTGCTTTCAAACCGATGGTCCATCCAGGCCATCCACTCGGCCGCACCAGCGGTCAAACTCGGCCGATGGCCCTGCGTAGGAAACAACCTCAGGTGCAGTTCATTACCGTCATGGCACGAAGAATTCCACGCCTGGACTGTCGTCTTCCACGACACCGCCGTATCATTCTGTCCCTGGACAACAAAGACCGGCGCCGGACTCGGATCGCCCTGTGCCGGAGCCACCATCTTCTCCCACTCCAGCAGCGTAGGAATATCCTTTTCAGCGCCCGCCACCGAGACGAGCTGGCTAGCTTCCAGGTCTACACTGATGCCAATCACAGATTCCAGACATAGCTGCGCCTCGACTGCCAGCTGCGTCCTGTTCCGCAAGACTGGCGACAGCATCGACTCCCTGTACGAGGGAACGGCGCGCTGCGCCGCGAGGAGCACGTACGGTAAGAACCCGGCGCCGGTGCCCTTCTGCGCGCCCGAGGACGTGGAATTCGCCGCCAAGAGGCTATCCACGAGCTGTCTGATGAAGTACGTCGCGGGGGCAATCGCCACGCTGCCGAGGTACGTCGTGTCGTTGCGCACAAATCTGCTCTCTGCGAGTTTCCAGACGGCGCCGCCGCCCTGCGAGTGGCCGAAGCTCATCCACTCCTTGGTAAATGACGCCGGGAATGCCTTGCGCGCCGCCACCACCGAGTAGTACACGTCACCTGCCTGTGCGGGAAGACTGAGGTACTTGTGACTGGTGTAGTTGTTTCCCAGGCCGGCGTAGTCGGTGGCGACGACGGCGTAGCCCCTTTCCAGGACGGGCTGCCAGGTGGAATAGTCGTACAGCGCGGGCCCGTTGGACGGCGCGCAGCCGGGAGAGATGCCAATCGTGCCGTGGGCAAAGGCGGCCAGCCTGTACTTGTGAGTGGAGGTGTTTGACGCCGACGCAAGTTCCTGGGCAAAGGAGTAGCGCGGCGTGTAGGGGAAGGCGATGAATCCCGTGGCGGGGACGACGGAGCCGTCGTAGTCGAGGGATGTGTATTGGAAGCGGAAGACGGTTGCGCCGCCGTTGATGGTGAGGTTCCGGGGGTCGAGGGGCTGGAGCTTGAGGAGTTCCCCCGGGCCAAGAGACGAGGAGAAGTTGGAGGCTGTTTCGTAGAAGGGGTAGTCGAACTCGAGGCCGACGACGGATATGTCTGCCTCGATGGTCCTGTTGAGGCGGCGCTGGCAGTCCCGGCCGCAGGAGTGGGCGTTGGCGACGGCCGGCGAGACGTTGAAGTTGGCGGCTTGGAGGGCCGCAGTGAGAGTCGGGAGGAGGAGGAGGAGTAGGGGTGAGAGGCGCATCTTGATCATGTTCATGTTCGCGTTTTGGCCGATTTCTGCGGTCGTGGTCTTACACGGCTCGATGTTGCAGATATCGACGGCCCAGAGCAAGGGATGGATATACTATATAAGTAGTCTGTTGCGTAGTTCATCTCGGTCCAAATAGCTTACCTCTGAGATCATTGCTTGTTTCTCCGCTCAGAGCCGCACTTCCGTACCCTGGGTAGTTTGTCCTAGCGAGCACTTCTTGCCACAGCCGAGGTATTCTGTTTAAACGGTAACAACTAACGGAGATAAAAATACCATGCCAACACCAATGACGACTCCGTTGACGCAAGTTATCCACATTGTCCCCGCTTCACGATCGTTGGGATCCCCGATTATGGGGAAGAGGGGCACAAGTGAGAGTGCGAGTATGCTCCGCCGGCCTTGTCTGGAAATAATCTGGGTAATTTGTCATAGCATAGACGTTTGCACTTGTTACAACGTGCTGACTTGTCGCTTCAGCTTTATTGACCTATGGACTAGATATTCCCACCAGCTAGAAAAGCATCCAGTTCTCTCAAATCACTATTGCGACCTCACAATATACACATGTCGCACCAGCCCCCTCTTTCGCCTCGCTCTTTCCATAATTCCCGGCCTCAGTCTTACAACGACATTCCTGTGAGGCGAAGAACCTCTATCCCGTTGTCGGACCTCTACTAAAACAGTACGTTCTGAACCATCATGGGACCAGTCCACCCTTTGTCGAGAACACCAGCCATGTTGAAAATAAACAAGATATAAAAAAAAAGTGAGCAACAGAAATCAAGAAAACTAATCAAGGCTGATGTGGCAGAAGAAATTCTTGCCGATGCCAGCGTGGGATAGTCGTCCAAATCTACTCCATCCAATACATGCCCAGGAACCCATAGTTTTGCGAAAGGATAAAATAAAACATCAATAGCAAAGACACAAAGTGAAAGGCAGGCGCGAGAGATCAGATGCTCCGCAGTCGTCGCTTTAAGGCGTTACATGAAATAACAGCGAATCAACCAGCCAAGTCCGATTGTGACTGGCGATCCACTGAACGGGCGAGAGGTTGGGCGTGACGATATTAAATTGGTATTGTTCGTCCAAAGTCATATCTTTTGACATACTCGCTGTATGAAAAGATTGGTGAGTGTGCGTGCGTTGTGTGTTTTCCTCGTCGTTAGCTCATAATAGGATGAGATAGTTGCTAGGAGCGATGCCAATTTCGTTAGTACCCCGTCTCCGGGCTTGCCACCACCGTCCACTGACGTCAGATACATCCAGGATTTCATGCTTGCTGAAGGAAATCTCGTTCGCATCTGAAGGATTGGCCTCGTAGCTATAGATGGCTTTGGCCTGATATGGGTAATCAATGGGAGGGAGAACCTCTTCATCGTTGGACTTGTTGTTCGGCTGCATCGTGTTGTTGCCATATGTTGGCATCGTGGGCGCAGTTGGAGCCTGAGATGCACCACCGACGGGTGAGGGGTTCTCGAAACCATTAAGCTGGGCAGATGTATACATCTGCGGCGGCTGCACAGAGTTGGATGTCTCGGGGCGGCCGGTACCACCATAGCCGTTCATTGCTTGGTTATGCATCGCACCGGAGTCCTTGGACAGCGCGAATGAATCCAAGAATGCCCGCGGTGTTGAAGAAGGCGTTGAGCCGAAGTAAAAGATCCAAACAATGACGACCATGGACAGGAGTATGAAGCCAGCAGCCGCGGCCTCTCTAGCCCCGTTCTTGGAATAGACGAGGGAGTTGACTCCAGAGGTCACCAGAACCATACCTCCAGCCAAATAACCGGTAACAGCAACGTGGTATGTTTGGATAGCATCGCTGGCGACCACTATTACAACACCAACGATAAGGAACAAGCTGTAAACGACAGCCCACCAAGCGAATGGAGGGAAGTTACCGTCGGGGTTGTCCTTGTCAGGCAGTCCCTTATTCTTGTTGGCCTGAACTTGGGCGATGACGCACGAAATAAAAGTAATAAACCAGGCAAGCTATTGACGCGTTTGTTAGTGAATGTTCATGCCACTACGAGGAAGCGCCGTGTTGAAGTGACGTTGATGAGGCATGGCAAAATAAAAATTCATGAGAGTGTGGGACGACCAACAAGAGAGATGGAGATGGTTGCCAACGCAAAAGGATCACCAAGAATATTGCCCAGCGACATTCGCTTTCGGCCACCATATGGCCGCGAGTGTTCCATTTTCACTAGTGACGGAGAGTACTGCGAAGCGTAACCTGGCATAAGGAACGAGACAGCGACTCGGATCGCGAAATACGGCGGAAATGAATCGTGGGCGCGAAGAGGGACAAGTTGGTCGTGTCAAGAAGCCGACAGGGAATCTGGTCTGCGGAAAGGAGTGCGCAAAGAGAGGTACCGGCGGACGAGTTGATTGAGTGGGCGACGGACGGATGCGAGACTGGGGGAAAGACAAAGACCAAGCACAAAAGTGGCCAAAGAGGACCGGACCGGCACAGCCGCAAGGAGAATCGAAACAGGTGAAGCAAGTCGTGGGGGAAAGAGTGACAGAGCAGCAACAGCCCTCAGTAGAGAGTAAAATTGGCGATTTGGCAGCCGTTCAAGCGAAGGTCATCAAGAGCCGCGATGGTCGATCAGGCTGCAGACTGGATGGAAAGAAGAAAAACGTTGCTGGAGAATGAGACTGGGACCAGAGGCTAGTCTGGCACTGGTGACCAGTGTCCGTGGGCGTCTGTCCAGGTGTGTTGGCGTCTGGTCTGCCTCGACAGAGCGCGCGAGGTGCGGCGGGGAGCGGTACGTGGCTTTTCGTGGAGCGTGTGCTCGGTTTTTTTCTGGCGTGCCA